GCTGGGGGTGAAGGGCATTGTATGTGGGATGGTCTCAGACCCCACTGGAAATAAGGGATTGCCACCATGGGGACCAGCACCTGGCCCTGCCCTAAATCCCCGTTTTTCATCCCACTTCATGCAGGGTCAGGAGAACAGCCGGCTGTGCTCACGGCAGCTCAGAAAAATGGGTGTCCAATGCACTCAGCTGGCACCGGGTGTGAAGGGGCTTTTGTACACAGCCTGCCCATCCGTGATTCACCAGAGCGATAAAAGGCTTTGGGATTTTTTCAAGGGAAAGCAGCTTTGAAGGCACGTGTGGGGCCGTGGGGGTGCACAGCATCCCGAGCAGCATTCCATGTGCTCATCGCATCCATGCGGTGCCAGGTCTTGTAGGGGTCCTCGGGACAATGCTGCCAGCACGGCTGGTGCCCCTATGGGGTGACACAGCTCCGTGTTGGGTACAACCACGAGAGATCTGCTCCCCGAGAGGGGCCCACCCAGCCCTGCATGCAGCCGAGTGAGCAGCGAAACCCCCCTGCTGCCTCCCCAGGCTGCTTTGTTCGGCTCCATGTTGTCCTCTCCGTGCAGCGTTTCCAGAAACTGAAACTCGGTCCGATGTGCTGCAGAGCACGGCCGTGCTGCTGGGTGGCACTGTTGGGATGCACACTGTGCTGCTCAGGAGCAAGCGCACAGCAAAGGGCGCAGCACACACAGATCTCGCGTCCAGGTGCAGCTGTACAGGGCATTGCACCCCGACATGCACGCTTCCTAAGGGCTTGCACACTTGAAGGTATGCACTGTGCAAAGAATTGCATGCTCCAAGGTGCGAGCTGCAGCAGGGATTGCAAACACTCAGATGCACATTGCGTAAGGAATTGCATGCTCTGAAGTGCATTGATCTGAAGAAATAGCAGCATGCTGCACCAGGAACTGCACCCTCCAGGGTGCACAACAACGCCCATGGCCTTGCACACTCAGGTGCATGCTGCACTAGGGGTTGCACTCACCAACATGCATGTTGCAATGAGAAGTTGCAAGCCAGGATGCACCACGCACCCTCAGCACCCACGGGCAGGGGGTACAACCTGGGGATGTCTGGCAGTGCAGCAGCAATGGGGCTGCAGCAGCAGAGATGGGGCCGTCCCGGGGGCCTCCAGCTGCAGCCAGCACAGGGCCGGATGTGGAGACCCAGGGCCCCGGCGAGGCGGTTTTGGGTTTCATTGCGGCCCCCCTGCTCTGCATTCCTGCTTTCCTAAAGGCCTCCCTTCAGCCAGAGGCAGGGAACCCCCCTCCCTGTGCTCGTGCCCCATTGCTGACGTGTCCCCACGGCTGCTGGCCCAGGGACAAAGCAGGGAGCAGATGGAGGTGCCCTTCCCATCCAGCCATCGCCACCAGCTCCCCCACTTCTCAGCCCCACAGCTCCCCAGGGCCGCATCCCCCGAATCATCCCACAACCGAGGGGGGTGCTGGGGGAAGGCACAGTGCTAATCCCCGTGGCCCCGCTCCTAATCCTGCCTAATGGATCCTTGTCACCGCCACAATGGGGTTATCCATCTGGAAGGGGATCTCCTGGCCCAGGAAGTCAAAGCTGGTGGCCTCCAGCCTCAAAGCTGAGCTCAAACCCCACCCCTTTGTGCTTAGGGATGGACAGTAGCCAGGCAGACCCCAGCCCCTCTACATCCACCCCAACAAGAAGCCAAATCTGCCTCTGCCTCTGCCCCTACCCAGCTCCAGACTGCGAAGTGATCCCAGCTCCTCCCAGCCCTTTATAGGAAGCTCCCAGCTGGGTCCTGGCACAACACAGGGCTGAGATCTTAAAGAGATGGGATCCCAGGGATGGGGTCCTGAGGGTGGGATGCTGGAGATAGGAGGGTTCCAAGGAGATGATCCTGGGGAGGGGTCTTGAGGATGGGGTTGCCTTGGTCGTGCTGGGGCATGGCCTTGCTTGGTTTCTCCCCATGCTGCAGCCCTGCTGCAGGAGAGGTTTGCACACAAACCCACACATCCCCTAGGTGCAGGCTCCTTAAAATAAAGGAGAGTCTCTGTTCCCACCTCTGCAGCAGAGACCTAGAGAACGTGCCCCAGCCACAAAGCTGGATCTGCCGGGGAGATGCAGGTACCAGCCCCATCCTTTTCCTCCTCCTCTTCTTCAAAGCCAGCAGCTTCCTCCAGCCGTGCAGGAAGCGCTGACATCCTCCTGCAGCCCTGACTCATTTTCAACTGCTTTGAGGCTCCTCCGTTCCTCTCAGCTCCCTTTTGGGATACAACACACCGTGAGGATGGGACCACCTTTCCACGAGTAGTGACAAGGCTGTGATGGGAACCGGTGTCCTGGGATGGAGATTGATGCCTGGGATGGGGTCCCCAATCCTGGCTGTGCTTTCAGCCGCCCCATGAGTCCCAAAGGAATGGGTTTGGGGCATGGCAGGGTGCTGGGTGCTGTGGGCTGTGGCCAGGAGGAGCTGAGCCACCTGCCTGCAGAGCTGCCTGCTTTGGGGTGCTGCGTGGGCAGGTGCTGAGCACACACTGCAAATTCTTCTGTGCTGACTCCTCGCTGCTGCAGTGCATTGGGAGACGTGCACAGAGTGATGGGAGCTGTGTGAAATCCTTCCCTGGCTGCCTGGCAGCAAAAATGGAGCTCTTTCCTGCCTTTGTGTCCCCAGCAGAACGTGTTCTCCCATGGGACTGGGGGGACCCAACCCCATCCCAGGGGATTCACAACCCCATCCCACCTGGGGTCTTCAGGAGCAAGGGATGCAGCCATGCAGCACTGCCCCATCTTCCTTCCCTCATTTGAGGTGTGCCCCTACCCACCAAACTGCTTCGGCCTCAATGCTCCCAGCGTTTCCCTTACTGGATGCAATTACATTAGGATAATGGGATAAACCCAGTTAATAAAGTGTGAGCAGAGCCCCGGTTGCATCACAGCTGGGAGGGGGCACGGCATGAACCCCCACTGCCCCTTAACACCTCGTGGGGCTGAGCGATCCCAACGGGGCTGCATCTCCAGGGGACCCCCACAGCACAATGCCATCCCCTGCTCCAGGACCCCCCACTCTGAGGCCACCCTTTGTTTTCCTATTGCCGCTGCTTTTTTTATTTTGTTTTGTTTTGATTCTGCCTAATACAAGTTTAATGAGGCCGGGCGCCTGCCAACTGTCAGGAGAGCCTCTGCTGGGGGCATATGGCAGCGGATGGGTGTCCCCATCCCTGTCCCCTCCCAGTAGTGTAGGCACTGCCAGAGGGCACAGCTTGGGTGCTGGGTGTGCCTGGGGAGACCCTGGGGACACCCCTTTATCTCAGTGGGACACAGGAGCGAGGTACCCCCATACACTATCACCCAGCAATGATCCTCACCCTATAACCCCGCTGCTCTGGGTCAAGTTTTGGGGTTGGGGGGGATGCAAAGGGCTCTGCAGCTCCCAGCAGTGAAGCAGCCCCATACATTGCTTCATCCCCAGTGCTGGGGGCACCGTGGTGACATGTGGGGACATCTCGCTGCATGCTCGGCCAGGCACTGCCACCCGCCCTGCTGCTGGGGAGAAAACTCTTTTTTTTTTCCCCCGTGCATAATTGCTTTTTTTTTCTTCTGGTGAGCAGAAAAGCCGTTTCTTTCCCATCCTCACCATCTGCCCTCTGCAGTAGCAGGAGGAGATCCCACAGCTGCACAGCCCCGTGGCTGGGTCCTATTGCCCTGCTGCTCCATGTGAGAGGAGCAGAAGTGCTCCCAGATCCCAGCAGTGGGGTTTGCTTCCAACCACCCGCAGGGCTGGGAGCAAGCCGGACTTGCAGGAGCAGAGCAGGGCGAAGCCAAGCAAACCCATCTGGGCCTGCCCACACAACCCATGGGTGCAGCCGGGGGGGCAGCTGGAAGCAGTGCTCCTGGGGCAGAACCAGTGCTCCCAGTGCAGAACCAGTGTGGGCTGTGGAGGTTGGGAGGTGCTGGGGGTGTGCCCCCCTGCAGCCCATCTCCTGTTCCCCTTCAGGCAGCTCAGCTCCCTGATCCACCCTTTGGTTTTCCATCCCAGTGCTGCCCCACTCGCCCTGCAATACCCCCAGGCTTTGCTTCAGCATGGCTGCTGAGGATTTGGGGACCCACTAGCACGGGGCTGCCCACGGAGGGGGTTGATTTGGGTTCCCTCACTCCCAGATGCTTCAGCCTCAGTGGTGCCTGGCATGGGGCATTGGGGTGGCTTTGGGGTGTTCAGGGCTCACGCTTCTCTGCTTCAGCCCTGTGGCATGGCTGGGGGGTGCAGAGAGGTGGAAGGGGGGACTTGCAATGTAGCAGGAGCCCTGCAAGGGGAGGGGGGCTTGCAATTCAACGGGGAATCTTGCAGTGCAGGGCTTGCTGTTATAGAGTGGAGGTTGCAAGGCATTGTGGGCTGGTCCCACAATTCAAGGAGAGCCTTGCTTTGCAAGGAGGGGTCTTGCAATGCCACGGGGTCCTTGCAGTGCAGAGAGGGCCTTGCATTGCCAAAGGGGGTCACGCACTGCAGGAGAGGGGCAGGGGGGCCTTGAAAGTATTGTGGTCATACGATGCCAAGGGGTTCTTGTGATGCTAAGGGGTCCTTGCAGTGCAGAAATGAGTCTTGCGATGAGGAGAGGGTCTCGCATTGCAGCAAGGCTCATGCACTCAGGAGAGGGCAACCTTAAAGTGCACGGGGAAGGGACGCAGTGCCGAGGAATCCTTGCCACGCAGGGTGGGCATTGCCGTGCAGGGGACAGTCCGCCAGCGCGGGGATGGTCCTGCGATCTGAGCGGGCTCTTGCTCTAACAATGGGGGGGCCGCTGCAAGGAAGGGGGGGTGATGCAGCAAAAGGCCATTGCGGTCGGGGGGCGTCGCAGCGGCGGCGCTGCGGGGGGTGTATCGCGACGGGGGGATATCGCGGCGCGGGGCTATCGAGGCGACGGGTATCGCGGCGGGGGACCGCGGGGGGGCTCCGGCGGCGCCGGGGGCCGCGCGGGGCGGGGAGGGGTCGCGGGGGGGCGGCGCCGCGCGGTGCTATAAAGGCGGCGGAGGGGGCGGGCGCGGCGGCGGCGGCAGCGCGGAGCGGAGCCGAAGTGCCACGATGACGGCGAACGGAACGGCGGAGCCGGTGCAGATCCAGTTCGGGCTGATCAACTGCGGCAACAAGTACCTGACGGCGGAGGCGTTCGGCTTCAAGGTGAACGCGTCGGCCGCCAGCATGAAGAAGAAGCAGATCTGGACGCTGGAGCAGGACGGGGAGGATTCCAGCGCGGTGCTGCTCAAGAGCCACCTGGGCCGCTACCTGGCAGCCGACAAAGACGGCCGCGTGAGCTGCGACAGCGAGGAGCCGGGCCCCGACTGCCGCTTCCTGGTGGTGGCCCACGGCGACGGGCGGTGGTCGCTGCAGTCCGAGCCGCACCGCCGCTTCTTCGGCGGCACCGAGGACCGCCTGTCGTGCTTCGCCCCGTCCGTGTCCCCCGCCGAGAAGTGGAGCGTGCACCTGGCCATGCACCCCCAGGCCAACCTCTACAGCCTGGCCCGCAAACGCTACGCGCACCTGGGGCCGCGCCGCGACGAGCTGGCCGTGGACCGCGACGTGCCGTGGGGAGTGGACGCGCTCATCACGCTGCTCTTCGTGGAGCAGCGCTACAGCCTGCAGAGCTGCGACCACCGCCTGCTGCGGGCCGACGGCCGCCTGGTGCCCTCCGCCGAGCCCGGCACCGCCTTCACGCTGGAGTTTCGCTGCGGGAAAGTGGCGTTCCGCGACGGGGAGGGCCGCTACCTGGCGCCGTCGGGGCCCAGCGGGACGCTGAAGGCGGGGAAGAGCAGTAAGGTGGGGAAGGATGAGCTGTTCGCGCTGGAGCAGAGCTGCCCGCAGGTCGTGCTGCGCGCTGGGAACGACCGGAACGTGTCCACCCGGCAAGGTGAGGGCCGTGGGGGGAGCGGGACGCGCGCGGGTGACTCGGGGACGAGGAGCGTCGCGGCCCCGCGGTGCTCTCGGCTCCGCCGCACCCGTCGGGCATCGCCGCTCCGCGGACATCGCTGCTCCGGTGCCCCCCCGCATCCCCGTGGCACAGCGGTCCGCCCCGCTCCTCTCCCGCAGGATCCCCGCTTCTCTCCACAGACACCTCCTTCGGATCTCTGCCCCCTCCGAAGCCTCCATCTCTCCATCACTCTCCCCTTTCCCCATTCACTTCCAGTATGGCTCCCTGGTTTCCACCCCCCCGCATTTCGCGGCCCTCATCCTTACAGCAGAGCACCCCGGACGGGATGAGAGGCACGGGGAGGGCCCTCCTGAGGATGTGTGGGGGTCTCTGTGGAGTCTCCCGTCGCCGTGGCGGAGGCAGAGCCGCTCATTGTTCACTAACAAAGCCTCTCCCAGCCGCCCCCCCCCCATCCCTGAGCATCGTTCGTCCCATAAAGCGAGGCTGCAGGAGGCTGAGCTCCCCCATAAATGCGGGCCGCATTGCCGTCCCCGTTCCCAGCGCTGGCGTCGTTACACGGGGAGAGGAAAGGCTCTGCCCGAGGGTCGTGATGCGCTGTGAGCGCCGCGTAGGAACCCCCGCACAAAGGCGCGGTGCCACCGCTGTCACCTCCGTCCCCTCGAGGCCACCGCCATGTGCTCAGCGCCCCACGGCCGCGTGGCAGCACCGCTCCCCGGGCACTGAGCCACAACCATGCAGTTGGGGGGATGGGGGGGGACAACCCCGGGAGCCGCGGGGCACAGCGGGCTGGGATGGGTGCGGGCACGCTGCTGCTGCACAGCCTGCGCCTGAACGGAGCGGGAATTTGCTCAAAGATATTCTTAATTATGTAATATTTCGAGGTTGCAGCTTAACCCTTGTCTGCACGCAGGGAGCTCGGTACTTTGCTGCGGGAGAGCGAATGCTGAGTGCAGAGCAGCCCCTGAGATAAAGGGGTTTGGCTGCGGGGGGACCGATCCCGGGATTGGGGGATAGAGGATGGGGGATGGGGGATGGAAATGGCGGGAGGTTGAGGGGGGAGGGGGTATAAAGGAAGGAGGTGAAGGACGGGGGGGAGGATGGGGAGGATGGAGGGAGGATGGCGGTGATGGGAAGCTGAGCTGGAAGAGGTTGGAGGAAGGAGGGGGGATGGAGGCAGGAGGAGGATGGCGGTGGCGGGAGGAAGAGGAGGGTGGAAGGAGAAGAGGATGGTGGGAGGCTGAGCAGGAGGAGGATGGATGGAGGAGGTTGAGGATGGCGGCGGTGGGAAGCTGAGCTGGATGGATGGGTGGGTGGATGGATGGATGGATGGATGGAGGACGGGGGAGATGATGGAGGCAGGAGGCAGGCGGGCGCTGCCGCAGCGCAGGGGGAAGGGCCGCTGCAGCCCTTTGTCACCGGAGATGGGAAAACCAGATGTGGGGCGAGGTGCGGGCTGGGGGCCCCGCGCTGGGATGCAGGGAGGGGGGGGAGCAGCCCGGCCCCATGGCTTTGTGCTGGGTGATGGGGGCGGGGAGGAGAAGGGGGGTCCCTGCAGTGCGAGGGCCTTTTCTGAGAAAAATACTGCAGGGAGGGATCTGTGATGGAGTGGGGCTCAGCGTGCCCGGCAACGGGGCTGCAGCCATCCTTTGGGGTCCTGCTCAGCGCCGGGGCCGGGGGCTGCTGGGGGTCTCTCCCTGTGTCTGGATTGATGCAGAACCCCTGGCCGTGCCCAGAGTGGTGCTGAGCTCCCCACTGGCCCCACTGCATTCATAAAAGCAGCGGAGCAGCGTGCAGCTTCCTTCTCTGCTGAATGGCTGCTGGTGGCTGCGGCAACAAAGAGCCCTTTGTGGGATGGAGGGTCCCCGAGGGCAGAGCTCTGCCATCCTCCTGCCCTGCCCCCCTCCCCCACAGCTCCCCCACCCCAGAGGTGTGCATAGGGTTGGGGAGGGGATGGAGCGTTTCCCTGGCTGCGTTCCCATCGCCCCTCACAGGGCTGCACCCCCCAGTGCTGCTTCTCCTGGATGAACATTGGTTGGGATTTTGGGATTTGTTTCCTGGTGCAGGGTATTTCTGCTGGAAGGATGGGGAGGGGACATGCAGGGCTCTGCAGGGGGATCTGAGCCATCCTGCTGGCTGCTACCAGCATCCCAGGGCACGCTGCAGGGCATCCTCTGAGCAAATGTAGCTTTATCCAGAAGGGAGAGCTGCGTGTGTGCTGCCCTTCCTTGCAGCGTGGGGTGCCATGCTGTGCTGTTCTTCCCATGGGGCAGCACTGGGATTTGGGTTGCTTTGGGAGATGCCAGGAAGGTGGTTGGGTGAGGGCTTGGGCATCAGTCTCGAGGTGCTGGAACCATCCAGGTCCTTCCCAGCTGCCTTTGCTGGAAGACTTAGCAGAACACGCTCTGCTTTCGCCTCCAGCCTGGCTGCATCCATGGTCATACATGCAGGGGCCCTGCAGCCACCCCTCGGGTTCCTCCCCAGCCGTCGGGTGCCCACGCAGGGAATTTTTCGGGGCCCGCCCCCCTCCTTGCCTCCAGCCGTAATTAGCAGCTTCGTCAAGGTCAGGGAGCGTCGTGCTGGCTCCAGACTCTGCATTTACCAACAGCAGTAATTAAAGGATGCCCGCAGCGGGGAGCAGAGCAGTTCTGCTGGGGGGCAGCAAGTGGGGACACGTGGCTGGGGGGAAACAGAGGGACACGGCCGGGTCGCCTCCACCCCCTGCAGCCCCGACCCCAGCCCTCCTGCTCCCTCACAGCCCTTTGAAGCCTCTCTCCCTGCAGCCCTAATTGCATTCCTTTCCGCTGACGCGCAGTAACCCAACCCCACGTTTGGGCTGGGGGTGGTGGGAGACATCCCCCCCTTCTTCCCCCCCCCAGCTTCTCTGTGGGCCCTGCGGCTGCTCCCCCGCCTGGCAGCGGATAAAGCAAAAACCCTCCCCAAACCCAGCCCAGGTGGGAGCTCGGGGGCACCTCCTGCTCCTCCCTTGCAGTGCAAAGCAGCTCCAGGCTGTGCACTGTGTCTGCAGGCCCAGGAGGCAGCAAAATGCACGGCGCGGATGGAGCACGGAGGTGTGCAAAGCAGAGGGTTTGTGCAGGGGGATGGCGCTGTCCCAGCGTCCTGCTGTGGGCTGCAATGTGCTGGGGGGGCAGCGAGGTTTTGCTCTCAGAACAAAGGCAGTGGGTTTGGAGCTGCTTTCCCAGCATGGAAAGCAAATGTTCCCTTCCAACAGGCAGCTCCTGCAAGTGTCTGCAAGGCACAAGGCCCGTCCTGTGGCAGATATGCAGAGTGGCTGTCCCATCTCCTGCCCCAGTCTGAAGGATTTGATGGAAAAAATTGTCCTTAAACACAGCCCTGAAATGGGGATTCATGGGTGGCACTGCGTTAATGGATTGAGTCACCCTGCTGTCACCTCCCACAAAAAAAACCACGGCCCATTTGCATGTGAGATAGCCAAGTTTGTCTCCATTGGATGGGTGACGGAGCTCTGAGCTGGGGGCTGGCCCTGCGCTTGAGCATCTGAATGGAAAGTTGGGGTTGGACCCAAATGGCAGAGGGAGACCAACTGTGTGCGTGTGGCTGCAGGGATGGACCTGTCAGCCAACCAGGACGAGGAGGGCGACCAGGAGACCTACCAGCTGGAGATCAACAAGGACACCAAGAAATGCGCCTTCCGCACCTACACGGGCAAGTACTGGACCCTCACCTCCAACGGGGGCATCCAGTCCACCGCCTCCACAAAGTGAGTCCCCTCCTTTTGCCCCCCGCTGCTTTGGGACCCCTTTGCCTTCTCCGTGGGTGCAGAGATTTGGGCAGCAGGGAGGAACCCAGGTGCTCACCTCAAAATGAGAATTCCCAGGGCCCTGGGGAAGGCTGGCACTGCCAAAAACGTAGAATCATTAAGGTTGGAAAAGGGCTCTAAGATCATCAAGTCCAACCCCAACCCACCCCCACCATGACACCAAACCACGTCCCTCGTCTCCACACCTCTGGAGCACCTCCAGGGACAGTGACAACACCATTCCCTGGGCAGCAGTGCCAGCTCCCGACTGCTTTTTGGGAGAACAGACATTTCCTAACACCCAACCTGAGCCTCCCCTGCTGCAACCGAAGGCCATCGTGTCTCATGTTGCTGTTACCTGTGGTCCTTGGGGTTGGGGGTCTTTACCCTTATGGCTTCCCTCATCCACCAAAATCCCAGCCGACCTGGGCTGTCCCCAGCCCCTGGGGCTCACAGGGCCACGCTCTGCCCATAGGAACGCCAGCTGCTACTTCGACATCGAGTGGTGTGACAAGCGCATCACCCTGCGGGCTGCCAACGGCAAATACGTGACAGCAAAGAAGAACGGGCAGCTGGCAGCCTCCATGGAGACAGCAGGTAAGGGATGCGGGGCTCTGAGGCACCTCAGGGGCAGGTGGGTGACAAACGGGGACGCTGCTCGCCGTGCCCATGGTGCCACCCGTGGGCTCACGGCCGCCGTCCCCTGGTGCAGGTGAGACGGAGCACTTTGTGATGAAGCTGATCAACAGACCCATCATTGTGCTGCGTGGTGAGCACGGCTTCATTGGCTGCCGGAAAGTGACCGGCACCCTGGACTCCAACCGCTCCTCCTATGATGTCTTCCAGTTGGAGTTCAATGATGGAGCCTACAACATCAAGGGTGAGCCTGCAGCTTGGGGTGATGTGTGTGACCGTCAGTGCTTTGGGGGGATTTTAGGGGGCTTTAGGGGTCGGATGGATGCCCCATCTGGGTCCTTGTGGCTCACGGTCCCCTTTTGCCCACAGATACCACTGGGAAGTACTGGATGGTGGGCAGTGAGTCGTCCGTCACCAGCAGCAGCGATACGCCCGTGGACTTCTTTTTTGAGTTCTGCGACTATAACAAAGTGGCCATCAAAATCAATGGCAAATACCTGAAGGGTGACCACGCCGGGGTGCTCAAGGCATCCGCCGACACCATCGACGCCTCCACCCTCTGGGAATATTAATGCACTTTAGCGTACCTCCCATTGCCAACCTCTCTTTCCCCTGTCTTTTTTTGTTTGTTTGTTTTATTTTGGGTTGGTTTTTTTTTTTTTGGTTTAATTTCTCCTCTCTGTACAAGGATTTCCAGCCTGGCTTGCCCTCCCCATAGAGCCCAGTGTGTGGTGTTGGAGGTGGTCTCCCTTCATCTCGTTAGGAACTGGATCAGTCGCCCAGCAGTGCGGTGCAGCCTATCATTCCAAAGGGGTATTTCCCCCCATCTCTGCTCAGGGGCTGCCGTGCCCAGCCTGGCCCCGAGCATCACCTCAGCCCTTCTATTTTCCCTTCCCCTATCGGAAAAAAAAGAAACAAAAAAGAAGGAATAAAGTCACCTCTGTGCTCCCCTCTGCCATACCCTCACTCTGTGCCCCGAGCTCCCCGTGGGGCTGTGCCCCTGTTCCTGTCCCCAGCAGCAGGTCTGTGCCCCACATTGGTGACAGGAGGACAGGGTGGGGGCACGCAGCCCCCGTTCCTTCCCCATTTCTGGGCACGGGCACCAGCTGGCAGCAAACCTGCAGATACCGGTTTGCAGAACAGACAAATTCCTTCGCAAACTTTGCACAGTGAGATTTGCTCAGTACTTTTTTTTTTTGGGTTTTTTTTTTTTTTTTTTTCCTCATTGAATACTGGAACAGTGATGCCAATCACTGCGCGCCCACTGCCGGGCTGGGGGGCTCCTGTGGGCTCCTCCCGAGCTGCGGCCGCGTGCCACCTCCTGACTGGAAACAGAAAAAAAGAATAATGACCAAAACAGTATTTTTGTTAGCCTCTATTTATACACGCTGTCGGCAGCACTGTGTTCTGCACTCGGTGGAACGGTGCTGGTGATGCCCGGCTGTTCCTCATGGCGTTGGGGTGCTTTATCCTCCGGCCTCCCCGCGGACACCGCAGCGCCTTTCACCCCCAGCCCCAACCTGAGGCTGCTGGCGGTGCCACCGCTGTGCCATAACCCGGGGCTCTGCAGCCTTAAAGCTCTGCGACCCCTCCAGCAGGGCTTGGTGCTACGCTCCCACCGCCCCATCCCCAGCATAGGGGCACCGCCCGGCTCCAGCACCCGCTGCCTCCCAAGGAAGAAATGTGCTGATGGAGCCCGAGTGGCCCCGTGCCCTGGCACACACACTGCTGCCTTCGCACCCGCTGTGTCTCCTTCGTGTCCCCCCACCCCGCTCTGCCTCTGTGTGACTTTAGGTCCTCACCTCCTGTCTCCTCTCCTCGGGTGTTGTGACCCTCCGTAAGCATCTCACTCTGAAATTTAAGTCTGGGGGGGTTTTTTGTTCGTTTTGGGGTGTTGGTTTTAGTACTTTTTTTTTTTTCCTAATTATTATTATTATTTTTTTTTTTGTAAGTGCCATTTGTATAACTTAAACGACAACAAAAATAGCTTCAACTGGAGAAAGATGAATAATAAAAAAAACAAGACCTGCATTCGGATACGAGTGGCGACGCGTGGTCTGTTGGGGCTCGGGGGGTCCTCACCCCATTGGCATCTGTGGGGCACAGCCTGGCAGCTGGAGCTGTGGGTTTGGGGTCAGGCAGCGCAGCCCAGGCCTCGGGGTGAGAATGGTACCCACTGGCTCCTTCCTCTGGCCTCAGAGCCATCGCTGGATGGAGGCTGGGGTCGTTCTGTGATGCCCAGCAGCCCCCAGGATGCTCCAGAGCCAGTGTGGGTCAGAGCTGCTCCTCCTGGGTGATGGGGAGATACAAAAAGGAGGAAAAAAAAGCAGATCTGTGCAGCACATCCCAGAGCGGGTGTGGGACCCCATCCTGCAAACAAGGGCTGAGCAGAGGAAGGATGCGATTCCGCTGTTATAAACAAAGCAGAAATTAAAGCTGTGCAGGAAACGTCAGCACTTCTCGCCTTCAGCCCCGCGCCCCACTGAGCCCTGCTCACACCTCCTGGTTTCCATTTACAGGAGCGACTGGAAACCATTTTCTATTCCATTTCTCCCGACAGCATTTGGAGAGCGTTAAGCTGGGGGAGGCCGTGTCTGCTCCCCCCCCATCCCATAAGCACAGCCTGGAGCTGGAAGCCAGAGTGCACAGATTTATTTACAAAAACAACAACAAAAAATTTTTCAAATTACATTATAATACAGGGAAACTCTGTACACACGGAATAGGAGAACGGTTTTACTACCAGAAGGTAAAGAAAAATATTTATTTATTTTATTTCAATAAACCAACCTATTTGCTTTCGGCTATCGTTATACAAAGTTGCAGAACATGCACATCTTTACAGGGTTTCTTTCTTTTAATAGGACGTTTTGCTAAGTGCAAATACTAAGTTTCTCTCCCCACCTTTAAGGCAAGTTAAACGGGACACCGCAATTAACCATAATGAGTACCTGGTAGAGGATGCAGCCACGGCTCCTCCAGGACGAGGGGACACAGCCAGGGGCTCTGCTGGCCGTGCAGAGCTTTGCTTTTGTAACAGAGCGACCCAAACCAGCAATGGACTCAAACATGACCAGGAACCATTGCTGGGCATCTCCCAGGCCAGAGGGAAGGAGCAGCCCAAGCACACAGCACCATGGTTCTGAAGGAGAACAGCCCATCCCTGCCCCTCTCCTGAACCCTCCAGGGCTGTTCCTGCAGTGTGACATCGCTCTGGGGCAGCAGGATGAACTCTGTGCCCCAGGAGGTGGTGGTGCTGACCCACAGACATGGGGACGGACCCCAGGCACCACCCACCCCATGCCACCTCCAGTGCCACCTCACCACTTCTGTCCCTTTTTCTCCATCCCCGAGCTTCTCCCTGCCCAGGCTGAGATCCCAATACGGCCACGCATCTCTGCAAAGCATCAAAAGGGGGAACAGGAGCCCGACTTCTGCTATCACAGCACTGCCTGTGCATGTGAGGACATGGCTGCTGCAGGAGAGCAGCAAAGGGTGCAACTGCCTGCGAAAGCTCCTGCAGTGCTGCACCAATGCAGAGCAAATGCAGCCAGATGAGAGCTGCAGCACAGCACTGAGTGCCACCTCCGTCCCCAGCACAGAGGCACTGAGCACCCGTCACCCACCTGTCACAGAGAGGTGGGCAGATCTCAGCAACTCAAGCACATTGGCCCCAGGGCTGTCTTCAGGAATAGACTAAGAAGGAAAAATTTAAAAAAAAAAAAAAAGTGGCAGCAGCAAGTAAATGCTACTGGGTTATTAATGCTAGAGACCATGGCACTGAGGGGTGGGAACACTTGGTAGGATGCATTCAACCCACAGGAAATGTCTGAGAGCAGAGACTGGACTCTGAAAGGCAAGGAAGTGCTACCTGAAAAACAAACACAGCACAGGGACATCGGGATGCTGGAACGTGGGGGAAAGCAGGATGCAGCACAGCCCAAACAACCCGGGATCCACTGCACAGGGGTGGGTAAGAGCCAGCACAGAGCTCCTGCTGGGTTTGTCCCTCCAAACGCTTTGCTGCTTTTGGGGGTGCTGTCCCAGACACAAAGCACAGCCCCTGTGTGCAGAACACACTGGTGGTTACCAACACTTACACCACAGCACACGTCACACACAGCTGTCTATTACCTATCCCTATCCTGACTGCTGGTGGGGATTTGGGATGCCTGCACGAGAACAGCAAAAGAAAGGCCATGTGCTGGAAGCTGGGGGGCAGCTCCCTGCTGGGAACGAACACCTGAGCCTGCAGAAGGGGCAAACTGTGCTCTCAGGGATCGAGGTGGCTGAGTTTTCTGCTTCCTGGAGCCCTGAGATGGGATGTGGCTCTGGGCTGCTGAACTGAGCAATGATATGGCTGCTGCATCCCCTCACTCCTTGCAGAGCGAGAAATGCTAAATACACTACATTAACTTGGTTTGGAACAATTTATTTCTGCTGGGAGGTGTTAGCAGGTTACAGGGATGCTGGAGAACATGGGAACCCCAAACCTTGGGCTTAGGGCAGCCGAGTCCCATTACCTCGTTCCTGAAGGTCTTACTCAGATGCCAAGTCCCTCCTCCCTTCCTGCAGGACTCAGGCTGTTGCAGCTGCTCTGGCCAGCAGGAAGGTTGGAGTTTTGGAAGACTCCCAAGGATCTTTTGCATCCCCTGTGCTCCACAAGTCTCATTTTCCCTCTCAGCAGCTGTCTGAATAGTCTTTGCCAAATAAAAAAAAAAAAAAAAAGGACTCCCGACATAGGAAGAGACCTTGGAAATGCAGCACCAAGCCCTGTTGCAGCACAGGTTGAAATGTTTGATTGTAAAGGTCCAGAGAAGCTATAGATAAGGGTGTAGTGCAGGTGTGTGCGAGTCACAGCAGCTCCCCTTGCAGCTGGCTATGTGGGGGGCTGCAGCAGGACGGGGTGATGTAACCAGGGGCTTCGTCCTGCAGTGACCAACGCTATCCAAACCAGGTCAGAACCGGTGCCGAGGCTGAGGGCCGAAGTGCATAGGCAAGTTGTGCTCCAGCTGAACGTTGATCTGGGGAAAATCATAGTTCACCCTCATGTTAGGCAATGGGGGCACGTAGGGGGCGGGGATGGGGCCGATGTTGAGGGGGATGTTATTGTACATGGGACGGACGGGGGGCAGAGGGAAGGGAGGGTGCACGAAGGGGTAAGGAGGCATCCGTGGCTGATGGAGGTTCTGAGGAACAGGTCTGGGGATGACTTCAATTCTCTGCATTTTCTCCATGGGCTTTTCCACCGGAGGGCCGATCCGCTTGAAGCTGTTCTCTGCAGAAGGAGGAAGGGGAGGAACCAGTCATCCCACTCACCAAGCTTGGGCTGCAATCTGGCACCCACCGTCCTCAGCACGTTCCTTAAGCACTCTTGCCCTTTCTCCTCCCAGAACCTCCTTGCTCCCACTCCCTGCTTGGAGCACAGGCATGAGTTTGGAAGGTTGGTCCTTCCATCAGCACAGCACAAGCACACTCTGCTTGCAGATGTGTGGGGCTGCCCCTTGTGTGCCTCTGTTCCCTTTTCTCCCCACTGTCCCACCAACAGCTGCAAGCAACACTGCTTCAAAGTTAGGCAGGTTCCCAGCAGAATGGCTGTATGCAGAACAGGAAGAAGGCAGCAAACCCAGAGCTGGGAGCCCTATGCTCTGCAGTCATCCTTGGTCTGATCTCAAAGCACAGGAACTTACCTCCGTTCTTCTTCCTCTGCTCCTCTTCAGCCTCCTTCTGAATCTCCTGAATTATCTTTTCGTCATCTTCCTAGGAATCAGAGCGTAAAGAATCAGAATAATTCCTGCTGCAGCTGCTTTCTATTCTCTCAGCAAGCTTTTGGCATAAGTGTGTACAGGAAAAGAGACAAATTCAGTTATATTGTCTTCGTCCAGGATGGCCCATGGTCAACCAAAAGCAAGGCTGTGACAGGGGATTGCCATATGAGCAATGTGCACAGAGCCAGGCTGGTTCTATGGAATACACCTAAGAGGCTTAGATCAGCTTTCCAGGGAGACGAGTGCTAAAATTCATCGCCTTGATGGAAACCAGAGAGCTGCAACCCAGCTCCGCCCATCCAGAGAGCTGCTGGAGAGCTGTTAATCTTCTCAATGGCAATTGTCTATTAAATATTTACACTGTGCGAGCACTTCTTGAGTTTTTGGCCCAACAGCTGGAATTAACACAACTTAAATCCTGGCTCTAGTAGCTAAACGGTGCTGTAACGAGGCCATTTAGATCTTATCTGTAACTGTGAGGAGGACATAAATCACAGTGCGTTGCTGTAATATCTATCCAGACATCACAGCTGGAATATTCAGACCCTCTGCTCAACGAGAAATTGGAAGCATCCCTCTGCCCCTCACCTTCCTCCTTTTTCTCAACCCAACATCACAGCAGTCAGACCCAGTGTCACATTCAAAATACACTGCAGGTGCCCTTGGCACAGCTCACCCCGCAGCCCCACGTGTGTCCAGCAGCACCAGAACCTTGCTGCCCGTGCTCTGCTCCCACCACAGATAAGGTTTCTCCAGGAGACAGAAGTTATCTTCATCTGCACAAAGCCACTGAGCTCGGCACCTCCCTCCCTTGGATTGCTCTTTGAGTCAATGGTTGAAATGAAGGCTTTCCAGCACGTGGTATTTCATCTGAGCGGGTTGCTTCCACGGCCCGTTAATTACAGCCTATCCATCTCCATAAAAAGCGCTGAAGAATGGCTCTTGTGAGCCTGCACACAGCTTCTGATAGCCCTGAGAGCATCAGATTGCAGCTGGAAAGCAGCTGAGCTGGGCAGCACAGCTCCTCGCTGTCTGGGCAGTGCAGGGGTGGCCCCAAAGCTTCAGGATCTGTTCATTTTTGTCTCAAGAATATTGTTTTTCAGCGCCATTAGAAACCAGATAGCTGCCTCTCCCATCCCACTGCCCTTATGGAAACGTGCGCCTGTGGGTTTGGTTTTTCTTTTTAGCTATATGGTAAGAAGATAACAAACTCAACAGAACGCTATTTTCCAACTCCCTTCCCCTACACAAAGGTAAAATCTCACCTTAAAGCCTAGAAATGTTCCAGTTCCCTTCTACTTAAAGTTTGTTAGAGCCCAGAATTAGCCATCTAAAGTACTGCTTTCCAGATGCTGCCATCCTACTGCCCTTGGACTGCTACCATCCCATCCCATCCCATGGCTGCTGGCCCCATCGACGCTGCAGAAATCTGGGAAATCAGACACAGCAACAGCACAGCTCCCTAGGATCCTCCTGCAGCAGGGGTCACTTGACCCCAGGTTACCCTGCAGCTGACCCCTGCACTACATGCAGCCCCACAGAGCCATCTGCCCTCCGGCTTCAAGCACCCCTGGGATGCTGCTCCAATCACTGCAGCTCCCAGAGAGGAGCAACGGCACAAAGCAGCAAACCCCCATCTGCCAGAGCTGCAAAGCAAGGCCTGTCTGCAGGGATAACATAAACCACATCACCCTAATTGCAGAGCCCATCTGCAGAAAGGAGCAGACCTCACAGGCTGGTACCCATTAATACCAGGAGAACAGAAATACACCACATAACATGCACCTTCCTGCCTCAAAGCAGAAGCTGACATTGGGTTTGGCACAACGCATTGGTTTGGTAGCTGCGGTATTTTGGGAAGACCTACATTCCAGCTGGAACAAAACAGAGGGGGGGGATGCATGCAATGAGGTAACTGGGGGCAATTTGGAAGGACAGCTGATGCCATGAGACCTGGCTATTGTATGCTGCACTGTCAAGGGCAAGAAATAAGGCTGACCCCACTGCAACTGCAGGGATTCATTTAGGGGCAAAGCATCCACACCAAAAATAAGGTTTTCTTTGCTACGCTCAGGCTGGTTTGGTGCTGATGTCACATGGCTTGGAGGCACCGTTTCAAAAGCCTCTTGTGTCTGTTTGCTGAGCGGGTTCCCAACCCTTCATAAGGGCTGGATTATGATTTTCATCGCCCGCTCGCAGACTGCATGCAAGCAGGCATTGATCCCAGCAAATTAACAGTCATCTTCCCGTCAGCTGCCTCGCCTACAGCAAAAAGAAATGGGAAAGGGAAAAAGCAGAACCCCAAGCACTGGGGGGGAGCTGGGGTATGGTGTTGGAGCAAGGAGGGGTCCCTCCTTGTGAGGGACAACATGCAGAGCAATGCTGCAGCATGGGAGGAGGGGAAAGGCGAGAGCTGCGAGCTGCAGCCCCCTCCCTATCTGCAAGTGCTGCAGAAAGCAAGTGAGGTTATTTGCAGCACCTGCCACAGTGCTGACTGACACAACAGGGCCACGTGGTGCCCTGGAGCACGGCGAGATGTGCCCACATCGTGTGCAGCATCACACGGCAGTGAGCCGGGCACAGCCCAGTGCTGGGGGCTGCATGGCCACAGAGCTGCTGGGAAACACAGGAGGAAGGAAATGCAGCAGTGAGAGATAATGAGAGCACTGCCAGCCATGCAGGGCCAAGCCTCAAACGGAACCAAGCCCCAAACGGAACCCCCCTACCCAGAACAGCAGCATACCCACAGAGCTTTGGAAAGCTCTGCTTTTAGCTGCCTTCTTTAGTTATTAACTGCTGGGAGAAAAGGGCTGCTGCCTCCTGGGGGGAGAGACCAGGACTGGGGCTGCTGTGAGTTGCACTCCCTGCCCAGCCTTCAGCAAGGGGCTGGGGGTGTGTTTGCCACCATTACCTCCCCCCTCCTTTCTGCCTTTCCACTGCTTTCTTTTTCCACATACGTGTGGCCACAGCCGTTCCCAATCAACTCGCAGTGATTTTCAGGCCAAAGGACTGTGGGGTTTTGTTTCAAATCATTCCCAGATCAGCTGCAGGGCGGTGGGGGCTGCTGGGGGCTGCTCCTGCAATGCAGAGCAGGGATGGGAGCAGTGCTGCAGGGGGAGCAGAGAAACCTTTTAGCAACAGCCGTTGCTATTGGTGTGCCTTGATGGCTTTCTGGGGATGCCATGAATTCACCATATGCTTCTGATTAAGGCATTACAGAGCATGTTGGAAAGAAACTGAGTTTGGGGGGAGATGTTTCCCCACCACTGCAGACTTCCCTTCAGAGACTGAAGTCAGTGCATTTCATGCATTTTCTCAATGCAGCTGAATTTTTGCAGTTTTTGCTTCGCAGCTCCTGGTAGCAGTGCTAGAAAGAGGGATAACTGCAAACAGCTCACAGCAATCAGCCTTGTACTTCCAACTTCAACGATGGGTGTTTAGGAGTGTTTTAAGGGTTACTGAGAAGTATGTGATCAACTTTAAAGCCAAAAAAAGCTGCACCACAGTTTTATCAAGAGTTTAAGGGCAGCCTGGTCTGGTATTAAATGTAGAGGTTGGTGGCCCTGCATGTGGCAGGGGGGTTGGAGATTCATGATCCTTGAGGTCCCTTCCAACCCTGGCCTTTCTGTGATTTAAAAATGGCTATTGAATTAAAGGTGATACACAGGAGAGCAGGACCCAGCTTACCCCAAGCAGTCACAACACATCAGTCAGACACCACGGGATCAATGCACCCCACCTACAGCGCATCATCAACCTCAGGATTGCTGCAGACACTCAGAAGCCAACGCTCAGCCCTGAGCCCCAGATCTGCTGTTCGCCTGCAGAATCAGCTCTCGCTGCTTTGTCCTGCAGCACATCAGACTTCGTGCAGCCTCAGGGAGCAGCCGAGTCAGGGCAGCACGTGCTGGTAGCTGCAGAGCTGCATGGCTGCAGCAGGACACCGCTCGTGGTGCCATGGATGGGTGCTGGCCGCAGCCCGGCTGCAGCTCATCTCTGAGCCAGCAAGCATCGCCCCATGCTTGGGAACTACAGCACAGGCAGCAGCCTCTCCTTAGGAGCAGTCAGAAGGGTTTGCTTTATTCTCCCAAGATCACCGCAGACAAAGACGCACAGATGCTGCTCTACCCGAGTCTTTCATTCTGAACCCCAGCCGTGAAAAGGTCCATTTCTCCTTTCTCAAGAATCGTTTCAGACTCAGAGAACGTTAAACGCCCGGTGAAGAACAAAGCTTCCCCACTTGAAAGAAACCCAAATTCTGCCTTAAATAACGAGGGATTAACCCAAGGCAGATTTTTCACCGAAGTGTGAAACTACCCATGTCTAACAAAGCTGCAGTCTGTGGCCGTGAAATAAAAACAGACAGTGCTCCTGTGACTGCACCACCCGTCTGCTGCGAGCACAGCTCTGCAGAACAAACGTCCCATCGCCCCCTAAAAGCCACATTTTGGTGGCACACGTGTGCCCTCCTCATTTTGCAGCAGCCTGCCCCAGGGAGGTGCTCCTGGGCAATGGGCTGCACAGCCCAGCAGAGGCAGGCCTGTCTTCTCTACCCTTGTGCTCACACACAACAGGGCTGCAGCTACAGCAGATGCTCTCTTCCCACACAGACAGCACTAGGCATCCACTGACCACAACAGAATGAAAGAAATGGAACAAAAAGAGGAAATGGAAGCAAGGAAGGTCCAAGAAGATGCAATGCCAGCAGGGCTGGGGTGGGACAGTGTCACCCCTGACAAAGCTTGCAGGACACTGCAATGGCATTTTGCAGGTTCACATCCCCATGTGCAGATCCACACTCACTCCCACTGCTCTCATCTCCCGCATCACCTCCTGCTCTCAGAAAGCAGATCAGGAGGAGGAACCACACTGCTGTCTCTAACAGCATCACTCACACAGGGGGGCAATGCAAACTGGTACAGAATCACAGAATTGCCAGGGTTGGAAGGGACCTCAAGGGTCATGAATCTCCAACCCCCCTGCCACACGCAGGGCCACCAACCATCCCACCTAATGCTAGACCAGGCTGCCCAGGGCCCCATCCAACCTGGCCTTGAACACCTCCAGGGATGGGGCATCCACAACCTCTCTGGGCAGCTGTTCCAGCACCATCATTCACCCCAAGAAGCCAGCAGCAGAGTTTCACGTTATTCTCCGCACTGCAGCAAGGACAGTCACCCTGCTTCAACTCCCCACAACACCAGAAACAAAGCAGGCAGTGCCAGCTCTCTGCTGACAGTGGGAAATCTTTCTTTGCCACGGTATTGGTTAATTAGAGAACTGGAAAGGGCCCGGTGACAGTGCCTTCTTTGTGCTGCCTGCTTATTTATTTATTTTAAAGTACAGTATGAGCTTTTTTGAGAGGCCTCATGTTTTCTCTGGCTCGGAACAAATGCCATTACTGAGCACAGTCAGCATCCTGATGGGAACAAAGGACTCAGCACCACGTTGTGTCCCAGTGGGAAACAGGGAGGGGGTGCAGGGCTGTGAGATGGCACAGCCATGTGTCTGAAATGGGGGAACCTGGAAGCAGGTGCCTCTGTTTAGTGTAGCACCTCTTGCTGGCAGATAACACAGAGTACAGGCAGGCAAGCAAAGGACTAGGAAGCTTACTCTGATAGAAGGGAAAAATGCAGTGGCTCTGCTTTTTGCACCATGCTTGTGCAGGATTATGCACACTCCCAGCATGAGATGCTGGGAGCAGGCTAGCAAGCTGCAGCATCCTGAGACAAAGAAGCACTGGAACAACTGAAGCTCAAAGAAGCTCTGGGAAGGCAGATCCACATTCACACTGCTCTGCTATTCTGCTGAAATCAGGAAATTCAGCTCCTGTCTTTGGATTTGTGGTACAGGCAACCTCTACTCAGAGCTGCTGCATGAAATCACCCCATCCCACAGCTACAAGAGTATTACAGAGCAAAGTTTCAAGTTTCTTACTACAGCTTCCCTCACAGCACAGTGGTATTTCAGTTCTTCCTTTGCAGCTGTTGAAAACAGCCGTGAGAACGGACACAACTGCAGCTTTGGCTCACAGGGATTGGCAGAGTGAGCCGAGCAGATAAGCAGAGCTTTGGGGCACCAGGAAGACAGCAGGTGCAGAGCCACAGCAAACAGCAACCTGGATCCTAGCAAAGCTAGGAACAAGTTGTGGTCAGATGGGACTCCGTGCTGATGTGGGCTTGCAGAGTGTTTCCTAGCTGCCTTGGGAGAGGAAAAATGTTGCACTGCCTAAAAACACTCATTTCCCTCTATTGCAAAGCATGCATTTCAACGGCACTGAATGATAACTGAAACGTGAGTGCAAATCGTTCCCCAACGTCCTCCCTCACTTACTGTGGGATCCGTCCAGAGAGAGCACTTGGCGCAGTCCTGGCAGGGAGCCCCAGGTGAGCGGGGGTGCTGGCAGAAGTGGTCGTAGCCATTGATGGCAGCCCGGCACAGGTAGCACATCTGCGCTCCGCAGCGGCACGACATGCGGTTGCAGCCCTCCGATTTGATCAGGCCAGTCCCACACTTGTGGCATTTTCTGATTCGGGCCGCTGTCATTTTCTCTTCTCTGTGACACGAGAGGAGAAGGGAGGAGGATCAGAGAAGGGGTGTCTGCGTTCACCGGCGCAGTACCATCCCTGCCACACCATCCCAGCAGCCCCGCTCCCACTTCTTCCCTCCTACACCATCTCCACAGCCCGCTGCTGTTCCAAGGAGGTCTGGGCTCAGTTCCACTTGGAGCCAGCCCACGACAACTCGAGAACAAATTAAGTGAAAGAAAGTCAATGGCAGCCTGCGTGCTACAGCCCTGATTCTGGTTTCCATGCGAGCCAAAACACAGCAGTGCCGGGCTCCGGATCGGGAGGAATTCACACCATAAGTCAGGAGAGCAAAGGGCACACAGATTCCTGACTCGGCTGCAAAGAAATACAGCCGAGGAGGTAAAGCTGGGGGAAAAGCAAACAGCTGTGGTCATCTGCTAGCTAGTTTTGCGTCCGGCTGTTGCTGTGGCTACAAAGATGCCATGACCACGTAGACTGCTTTCAATCCTGGCTGCTGTGCTACAGATTTATTTGGCTTTTGTTAAATTTAAATCAGACACTGAAAAATAATCACAATTTTCCCCAAAGAAATTCAGCCTTCCCAGGAAGATTCTCTGCATAAGTTTTCCAGAGGTTATTGCTTTAGGAGCGCAAGACAGGGAGGGGTGGGAAGGCAAGGCAGGGCACAGTCCCTGTCCCCAGCAGGCAGCCTGGCAGGGACATGCTCTGAGCAAAGGTTTGGCTCATGGCAATGCTGTTTTGGCACAGAACTGGAGGAAAGCACCGGTCACTTAATTAAAAGACTTAAGAATACAAGTTGTCAGCCTGAGGGCCAATTTTATGACCGCTGGGGATCACGTTACAATTTAATTCACAGTCGAGAAGTGAAATTTGATGACAGCAGAAAGAGGGGACTGCTTTTGGACAGAGGGAGGCACGGCCCCTTGGCTGCGCTGACCCTGCAGCACAGAACCAGCAGCCAGCATCTCCACCCAGCTGCTCCAGGGGATCTGCGAAGCCAACATGTGTTTGGGAGATGACAGGGAGGGATTTTTAAGGAGGATCCCAGCAACAGAGCAGGCAACAGCACAGCCCCTCAAACTGCTTCATCTGCAAAGCCAGAGGAGCGGTGAACGGCCTAGTGGAAAAAAGAGCAGCCAGAAGTGGGAATTTCAGCTGCCTTGCAGCTACACCAAGCTCCCCTGCAGCTATATCCAGCACGATGCGTGCCCAGGCTTTTGGAAATGGGCTAAGAATAGACAGGAAGGAAAAAAATCAACTTGAGACTGACTGCTCTGAGCGGCAGCTGCTCTTCCCTCCTCTGCTCAACAGGATGCTGCTGATTCAGACTTTTTTTGGAAACTCTGAGCGAGGCAGGAAGCTTGGCCTGAGCTCCAGCTGTGCTTCCCTTTCCTTGCGCAGGGCTTCAAAAGGAAGCTTTCATTGTATCGTGCACTGCGACTCACCTACCTGCTGCAATGACCTGCCAAAGGTTTTGAAACTGATTTTTTTTCCATATTAGGGACACGACAACTTGTTTCTCCCCCTTCTCACCCCTCTTTTCTATAGGGAAAGGAGTGACAAGAGAAAGAAGCCATATCAAATCTGTAACGTTTTGCTCTCAAGTACAGGCTGCAGGATGAGCAAGCAACAGTCATTCAGCTTCCCAGCGGTGGAGCTTTCCAACCTCTACTCATACCAGACAGACTGAATCAGAGAGGAAAGGATTGGGCAACACAGGCAGTTCCCGTCGGGCTGCGCCAAGCATGCAGCCCCATGGCTCAGCTCTCACTTGTTTCCTAAAGCCAGTGGATTTTGTCCTGTACTGCAGCAAGGAGGGAAACAAGGCTTCCAAAGACATCAGGGGAATATTTGAGTATTTCAGAAAGTGAGCCTATTTTGTAGAGATTCCTACCAAGCAGTTAGAAGCACAGATGAGCACGTCTGCTTCCACAAAGCCAGAAAGCAGTGGCTGAGTAAGCCACATTTCAGCATGTTGTCACCAGTTGAGATTTTCAAACGGTCCTAAGCTACTCTGACTCAATACACATCCCTGCCTCTCACAACACCTCCCTTCTGCCCCAGGTGAATGGAAGCAAGACTCAGCAGGCTTTCTCACCTCTGTGAGGCTCTCCAGGTGCTGGCCTCCGAGACACTGGGCCAGCCAGAGCAACAGGCCAGGCTGCCAACGAGTCTCCCACGTTCCCAGGTTACCACCTGGATCCACTGCCATTTACCTTTCACAGAATGAAATCCCATCCCAGGGCTGTCTGCACCCTCCAGCCTGAAGTCTTCAGGACACAATGGAAGGCATTGACACCCAGCAAAGCTTCAAGGCTTCCAACATTTACAAGAACAGCTGAGTTTCTTATCCCTTCCTCCATACCAGTTCTGTGGCGTACTGCTGTAACAATTTTATCCACTCGTTTGTGCCAGCTCGTGGGGCTTACTTACATGGATGTCCTATACTTGATGTCATCCTTCTCAGCCAGCTGCTCGCAGGTGAGGTTCATGTGCTCCTTCCACAGCCCCTGGCACTTCCGACATGTTTCCTGAGGAAGACAACAGGCATTAAAGGACGAGGTGACCCAGCACAATAAGAGCATTAGGGATTGGAAGAATTCCCATCTCTTTCCCCAGTACATTGCAGATTCTTGCTTGAAGATGGGGTTGGCAATTCTGTGTAGAAATATGAGGCCCCAGAGGATCTGTCCTCCACTAGAGACCATGAGTCCATCAATAACAGGAGCAATGGTGTCTCCAAGGCATGAGAACCCAGGACCAAAACACAGCTGGAGCTATCTACAACAGTGCAAAAAGAGTCCATCCATAGCAGCCCACCTAAGACTCATGGAACTGCCAACAGGTCAACTGCAAGCTTCCAGCAGCAGGCTGCAGAAACAAAAACACGACACTAAAGGTCAGCAGGCCTGTGGTTTTCCTGACCCAAACCTTTCACCTTCACAGAGGGGGCTTTCAGTAAGCTGCAAAGCACGAGAGTCTATATTCAGCTTTGTGAAACCTCACTAAATAAAGTTAGAATGGCTTACATAAGTAAACAGCTTAAAAGCAGGATGTGGACACACATCCATAGAACAGAGGTGGCGTATGAACAAATATTTATGAATTTAACCAGAACAGCTGAAGTAAATTTAAAGCAAGTGACCAAACTCCCTTGTTCTTATAAACCCTTCAGTAGAAGGCTCAGCCCGGCTGGCAGAGCTGCACGGAGCAGGAGCTGTGGAGGCACTGTTGGCAACAGAGCTTGGACTAACGCTGGGACACGGTTGATTTTTTTCATTGGCCATCCAAAGAAAACATAATTTTGTTTTGGGTCAAACAAGAGATTTTCCTTTAATTTGAGGAAGATTAAAAAACATCCAAATCAAACTTGGAAGAAGCACACGTTTTGCGATCCAACTGTTTCATCTTCAGGATGGCTGGGACTCAGCCTTTAAATCCAACCTTCTCCTCTGGCAGAAAAACCATCTGGCTGCAAAGCATCCTCCCTCCCTCCCTCCACCACACGGCCCCACCAGCCTTGCCCTGCTCCAGTTGCACAACCAGAGCACTGAGGCATCCTCTAGAGTGCATTACCTTCTTTTAACAAAGAAATGGACATTCAGTGAATACACACCACAATTAGCCGCTGTCTAATTGAGTTCTCCTCAGCTCTCGGCCTTTTCTCTGCTCAGAGACACACGTAGGCAGCAGAGTGCTTTTGATCACCCATCAGACAAACAGGACGGAGACCAAAGCTTCCAAGGAAGCTGCCCCTAGGAGGTGCCAAATGTTGACTTGTTTGTGTTTGTGCTCACCGGGAGATGCCTCGCAGCTTGTGCTTTCATCCCAGGAATTAAGGGCCCCTCGTGCAGCTTACCAGACAGGATACTTTTGCACGTTGCAGGGCACAGGGCTGTAGGAAGGGGAGAACCAAGCATCCCGAAGTGTCACAGGCCCTCCCTCCCCTTTCATTCACCACTCAGGTCGTTCCAAGACCAAAAGTGTCGGACGGCTGTGAATACCAAGGGTTAAAAGCAGCTGCTGCAGCCCTGCTACACTGAGCCACTTTCACATGCCAGCAACAAAGATTTAACAGCTTTTTGCCAGAAGGGTTGGCAGGCTCTCCAGCCAGGAGCCTGCAATTCTCAACTACTTAACTCCAGGAGCCTCCTTCGCTGCCGAATTAGATGTCTGCCCACAGCAGATGGTGCTGCTCGGGGTTCGGTACCAAGCCCTCCCCTCTGCCTTTTGCCATTACCACCACTCTCCCTTCCAATGCTGTGGTTATTTAAAAACAACACCTTCCCTCAAGCTGCTGCTGTTTGCCCAACAGTCGTCTCTTACACCCGGGAAAAAGGATTCCTTGACAGACAGGGAGGAAGGGAACAGGCACAGCACTTTGACTCCTGACCCCAGCCAGGTACAGCCCAGGCCAGGTACAGCCCCTGACCCTGCTGTCTCCTCCCAGATTGAGATGGGAGAGATGTGAGGATGCACGAGTTGCTACCAGAGCTCCACACAACTCCCCTCCCTGCTCGCCCAGCACAATGGCCCATTGTCTGTGGGTACAGGAGATCCCATTGGATCCCTCTGCACAAAAGCCTGTGGTTCAGGCAAGGGGAGCTGCTCCGATGCCATAACCACAGTCGCAGCCATGGCCTGAGAACAGCAGAACAACCTTCTGCATTTTTACGCTTCCTTGAATCAAACCTGCTTGGCCGATGGAAGGTTTTGCACCTCTCATGCAATAACAGCTCTGATCTCGACAGAACTTGCACAAAGGGTTCTTTTATTTCAGAAGCAGCTTTTTGCTCGATAAGGAAACGTACTCTGCCATTTCCATATTAATGAACCTAAACACACAGTAGGATGGCTGATTTTCTGCAGCCGCCCTACATTATCTCTATTGTATAACCTTGGCACCAAGACAGGCTAGCACACAACACGACAGCCCCAAACCCGCACAGAGGGGGAATGCATCCTTCCACACCCACCCCAAACCCGAGAGGCCGCCCAGCTTCTCCTTCAGTGCCTGGAGAGCAGCATGCAATGCTGGAAAGCACGTTTTGCTTGGGTTTTAGCAGTGTTTCAGTTCAATTCCTCGTGAATCCACTGCATTTCTCCTGCAGTTCCCAGGTACAGATACACAGCCCACGCTTCAGGTTTGGAGGAGGCTTGGCACTGGGAACCACGCATGGATGCAGGAGATTAAGCATCTCCCGCCTGCTGCATCTGCCCCAGCCTGGCAGGCAGCCTGGGACAGCCCACAGGGCACTGGGCCGGGACAGCAAAGGGGAGGATGTGATGGAGAGGGTGTTCCATGGCCCTGTAATCTCCTCACCGTGCAGCTGTTAGAGGCAGAGCTCCATTTCCTCTCGCCGGCCGCCAGGAAGCAGCCGGGATTAACACAAACACGTTTGGGTTCAGGAGGATCCTTTGTTCCCTGGGTCAGCAGCTTTCTGTGCTCGGGGCAGCCTGAGCTTCAGGCATTGCAACCTTTGAAGGCCCCTCTTTATTCCCCCTGCACCTAAGGAAGGTGGAAGGAAGCGCCTTATAGGATGGACCTCCCTCAGCACTTCCACTGCTCCTCGCACTGCAGACGCTGCAGTTTTAAAACACAGCCCAAACTTATTTTCTTTGAGACTCCACCCTCCACTAAAAATAACCCTGTGAGCTCCAGCCCACATATGGGGGAAGAAAGCCCTGAGCCCTCAGCATCCCCCCAGCCCCACACTGCTGCCAACCTGGCCGAGCTGCACGGGTGGAAACAGAGGATGCAAACAGATCAGGGGCCGTTTGCACAGCCCACAGCATTCCTGAGTGCCTGCTGCTCCTGGAGGAGTTCACACGAAGCCATTTACTGACTGAGCAAAATGCAAAGAGAGGCAGCTAAGAAATAAAAACACGAGAAAAGCTCAGTGTAACCAACAGGCAGCACACGGGGCTGTCATCGCCGCCCTCCAGCTCGCAGCAGTGGCTCTGAGCAGAGCCCAGTACTTCCTTAACTCTCCATATGCTGCTAATTAAATCCTCCTGCTGCTGCCCTGCAGGGTCCCTCCCAGCCCCCATGGGTGGACACAGGGGGATGCTGCTGGCTGTGCTCCCTGCTGTGAGCCAAGGGGAGACGAAGTGCATCGCAGCCCCTCGACGCTCGCTGAGACACAGATCGATTCCCCGCTCCTTCCTTCTCTTAGAGACACAATGGAGCAGGGCTAACCTCAAACCAGCCAAGTTTTACTCCAAACCAGATGTGAATGCAATAGGCTCAGAATAGCAACTCCATACCGTGCTGGTTTAATTAAAGGGCGGCAGCTCCCAACCAGACAAGCTAATGGGAAAGCATGGAGAAGCACACAGCCTTCCTCCCCACTGAGTGCCCACTGCACTGCCCTCATCTAAAAACGGGTGCAGAAGTGGCTGAGTGAGAGCACAGCAAGCACTAATAAGCTGTTGTGAGCAAGCTCCTGCAGGGCTCTTCCAGGGATTTCCTATACATTAAGCTGGGATAGAGAGGACACAACCCAGCCTGAGATGATCCACTGAGAGGAGAGAGCCAGCTTTATGGGTGTACAAAGAGAAGGGACCGCAGCTCTGCAGGCACTGCTCCAACAACTGGCACTGCTCCCGAATGCACAAAAGCCGTGTGGTGTGGCAGGATGGGTGAGCAGTGATGAAGCAGTTGTGAGAGGAAATCAATGTGGGGTGGTTTCCTCCTCCTCCTCCTCCTCCCCCCAGAGCGCCGTTCCTCGGGCAGCGCTGCCGCTCAGCGGCTGCTGCTCACATGGCAGCACTGGGAGAAGCCCGGGGACGCAGGTCTGCCTGCCTTGCACAGCCCTGGTTTATTGCAGCAGGAGAAATACAGCAGAGATGCAAGCCTTGGACTAGTCTGCTAGTCTCTACAAATGTGCCAGAGGGCGGACATAAAGAGTGCTGTGAGTAATGGGGAGTCAAAAGCTGGATAAGGAAAATCCACATTTATACCCGACACACATCAGCTGTGCTGCATAAAGCTCTTACATCAAACAACGCTACCAAAAGTGACAGATCCAGCCAATATTCTTGTTAAACTGAGCACGTCAAGCCCTCACCTTCAAGTCATTGCAGACACGTGGTTCTGCTTCCAGCAACGCACACGGAGGGTGAGGATGCCTACAAGACACAGGCAGCTACTGAGGTCTGTGCCATCCAAGTCAGTGCTTGGCAACTCCTGCCCTGCACCTGCCTGAGGCGGTGGCACGCTCACATCTGCGTTATCCACAATTTAGAATCATGAAGGTTGGAAAAGATCTATCCAAGATGGCCAACCCCAACCCATCCCACCATGACACCAAACCAGTTCCCTTTGGAACACCTCTGGTGCCCCACCAGCCCCTGGGCAGCAGTGCCAGTGCCTGAATGCTCATCCAGAAAAGAAATGCATCCCTAACATCCAACCTGAACCTCTGTTGCTGCAACTCAAGGCCATTCCCTCTCATCCTACGTTTCCCAAAACATCTATTGGAAACCCAAGCAAGCTTTTTCTCCCCCAGAGCTCAGCTTCAAAGGCCAG